CCCCTCCTAACTTCATGTACATGCAGATGTTGTCCAAGACAGCAAAGACTACCCTGGAGAGAATGCTGCAATGGACATCTCACTGAAAATGTCAGCTTTTATTCAATTTGGGACAGGAGGCCTTCCACTGGTAGGATGTAAATGGACTGGTGGATTCCTTGCTGTTCAAATTCTATCAAATAATTAGGGATGGGTGAGTGGAAAGCAATACAAATTTCTGGATACATTTTGTGTGTCTCTGTGTTAAAAGAAATCTACACCATATTGTACTCATATAGCCTCCCCCCCTCCAATTCATATGTGTACACAGACATTCACAACAGTAGCACATAATGTTCATGGGGATTTGCTGCTACTCCTTTCTCATATAAATTCATTCTCATGAATGAACACAACATTCACACACCATTTAACAGTTGACTAATTGATAGTGGCACCTACTCCTTTCTCTGCTGAACCTCTTCCTGCCAACAATACTCTGTCCCATCTCTCTCTAGACATTGTGCACTGATTGTTGTTGTTTTTAAAAAGGCTTCTAAGCAGTTGCAATATTCATAAATATTCCATAACACCCCAACATCGAGCCAACGAATGAGAAAGACTCCTTTCAATAAACTAAAGGCAGAACTCTGATGGTCAGAGTTATGGAGATTTCAGCCCAAGTTAATTTCAGTTTCGTTGTTGTTGTTGTTGTTGTTGACTTTTATCAGGCTTATCCAATCTGGGGATAAACACTAATTTGATTTGACAGATCACTTGTTTACAGTGTGTGCCTTTCATTGCAAAGGTAGTTTTCTTCCCAAATAGATAGTAAAGAGGATGGATGTCTGGGTTTGAGTGGGGCGAGTCTTTGAAGATGCAAACTGCTTTGCCACTTAAAAGATATGGCAAAGTGTATATTGAATTAAATGAAAGGGATCATCTTTTATTTTCCTTTCGCTTCTGAAAATGTCTTAGAGTTTCCCAGACAGAAAATTCAGCAAAGAGCATTTAAGCACAGTTCTGGGAGGTCTCTTTCTCTTACCAGCTTTCATTTTATTTTTCAATGGCAGCTGGGTAGCATCTAAGCACTCCGGTCCACAATGCAAAGGACATCTCTCTGTCTGCTCCACAATAGGCTGCTGTTAAAGTGGAACTGCAATCACAGCTGCTTTCTGCTCCTGTTACCGGCTGCGGCTAAGTGTAGGCCATTTCAGCCCATGACCTCTCAGTTCAGGCTGCCCTTCTGATGTGTGGCAACAATTTGGGAGGCGAGCTGAGCAAAGACCAGCTTTTACTGCTCTCTCTTCACCCAACCCCCCCAGCAATGTTTACAGACATATTTAGGAACTGGTGTCCTTCTGAAGGAACGCCGTTTCCTCCTTTTCACAGAAAGTGGCTCGTGGAAGGGTATGACCCACAACTGGACAGAGGGTAACGATTGTGCTGTTGTCACTTCTGGAGGGAAAGACTGGAGTTGGAGGGACAGGGAGCCACCAGTGAGACTTCAGCCTGTATCCTGAGCTTGTGTTTGCTCCTCCAACCCCTCAGGTATCTAGCTGAGAGTCACTGCCTAGAGGCATGGGCTGAACGGAGAGAGCAAAAGGGCACTTGATCATGGCTCTTGACTGTGGCGCTCAGCCTGTCAGTGACGTTCCTTCACTGACAGGAAACGAAAACGCAGACACAGAGAGAGAACAGATAAGCGAGGAATGCAGAGGACAGGGAGAAGAAGCAGGGAGCAGCCATAACTTGATCTCTGGACACAGAGAAAATGAAAGAGAGAGCCAGAGTGAAAGAATGCAACTTGCCAGGTCTGATAGTGACACAGACCGAGAGGAAGTAAGGGGGGGTGGAATTGTCCAAAACTCGCCGGCTAACTAGGCTCACCGAAAAATGCGGGAAGGGAGGAAAGAAACGTTGGGGGGCTTCCGTGTTGGGGAAGGAAAGGAGGCACACAGTTTTGGCAACTGGATCATCCAGTGAGGACTGGCGGAAGGTAGCTCTGAACGGAGCTTTGTAAATAAGCAATAAATCTGAAATAATTAACGGCCGGAGTCAAGCCGTGTGGGGGCAGGGAGACAACAGCCTGACACAGTCATTGGGCCAACCATCAGCAGAGCACTCCCTGTTCACCCTAAACTGTGTAGAGCAGATTTATCTTGCACAAACAAGACAAAGATTCGTTGACCTTGAGGCCCACAAGATTCATCAGCACTGGGAACAGGAGAGAAACACCAACCTGTGGCTTATTGGCCAACTTTCAGGACAGAGATTCCGGTTTCAGGAGTGGTGTTGCAGACCCTCTTCTCAAGACCCTGGAGGACCCTGGACCCCGTCTGTGCTGATTGGTAAGGAGAAGAGATATGGGGCAGGCCAGGAAATCCACTTGAATCCAGGGATTCAGGAAAGGGAATTTCTCCTTCTGCACCTACTGCCAAACTTCCCATCTCCCTGATCTTGCAGATGCTACAGTGAGTGATGGAGGAAACATTGACTCTTCTTGCGTTTTCCAATGAGCCTCTGCCTAATTTGCATTTCCTGGCCCAATAAGCGAACTGAAACACAACTTTCCTTTGGAAGTCGTGCATCTCTTAATTTTGCAATGCAATCCTCCAGCCAAGAAAGCACGCACAACAAAATGCACACACTGGCGAAAATAATGTACAAAACTATAACATGTCAGGGTGAACAGCTAACAGAAATGTATATATTAGGTAAGTTGCAGACAGCAATACTTACCTTAGGAGAAATCTGTGCAAAAATGCATATTGATTTATGGGTTGCATCCAGTGCAACTCTTGTGCAGAGGCGAGTGTGCCTCTGACGGCAGTCTCAGCATGGCAGCCATCATATTTCTCAGACGGAGAAAAGTTTATTTCCACTCATTGGCTACTCGCTCACCCCCCAAAAAGTTATGGTGGGGAATTCGTGAGGATTGCATTTGATTAATGCATGGACTTTCCTTTCAGATCCATCAAGGATCGCGGGAAAGGTTGACATCAAAATGGAAAAATAATTGATGGCATCTAGATGACATCCATCTTCAGTTTGTCATGCATTGATCCTTAAGCAAATATTTCAGTGCTTGCTCCTTTCATATTTGCTTGTTCTTCCAGAGCAGCTTTCTTGTAATGGAGAAGGAGGCAATGGGGTGTGTGAAGGGGAGTCACCGAGACTGGGTGTTAAACATGAGCAAAGTTATATACCGTATTTTTTGCTCTATAAGACTCACTTTTCCCCTCCTAAAAAGTAAGGGAAAATGTGTGTGCGTCTTATGGAGCGAATGCAGGCTGCGCAGCTATCCCAGAAGCCAGAACAGCTGTTCTGGCTTCTGAGATTCAGAATATTTTTTTTCTTGTTTTCCTCCTCCAAAAACTAGTCTTGTGGTCTGGTGCGTCTTATAAAGCAAAAAATATGGTATATAAATTTATTAGTTTTTTTAACATATCATTTTCAACAGTAATTAAACGTACTTTTATATCTTATTCGAATTTGTTTTACTTCCATCAATCCTGTCTGAAAATTTTCCAATCTAATCTCTTAGTATGCATTTCTTATTTTGCCTATTACATTTCAAACTCATAACCAATATCTCTATCTTTTCCTACTTTGTAACACTTCATATATTTCTCCTTGCAAAACTTCTTGTAGTCCTACAAGCGTAATTTGTTGATTACAGTTGCTCTTCAAATAATTCATATACTTCTTCCAATCTTCTGTAAATCTCTGGTCCCGCAGGTTTCGAATCCTTCCTGTCATTCTGTCCAATTCTGCATAGTCCATTAATTTTGTCTGCCATTCTTCTTCCATCAGAATTTCTTCTTGTTTCAATTTCTGAGCTAACAATACTCTTGCCGCAGTTGTTGCATATAAAAACAATTTAACATCTTGCCTATTAATGTCCTGACCTATAATACCAAGTAAAAATGAGCAAAGTTCTTGCAATGCTCTTGAACGTATGATGTTGCTTTTATCCTACATCAAAAGCATCATCCAACACAGTGCCATCTACACTGAGTGGAAGAGTCTCTTCAAAGACCAAGTTGACAGTCTTCCAATTAGGGAACTCCAGCTCAGCATCCAGCCCTCATTTTCATGCCATGCACAGATTACATCTCCTCTGTGCACCACACATAGTCAGAATGTTGATCCCAGGCCCACATATTCAGGGAGGTTGCGTCAAAGGAAATCATGGCTCCAGGTATTAGCTCCTTGGGGTATGGGGAATCCGCTTTGCAAATGGAAAACCTTGGCATCTCCAGTTGAAAGGGTGGAGTGAACGTCTGCCTGAAATTCTGGATAATCACTGCCAGGGAGAGTGGCCAAAGCAGGAGAATGCTGTGGCACTCAGATCCTTACTGTGGTCTTCCAAAAAGTATCTGGTTGGCCACTGTGAAAACAGGATGATGGACTAGATGGGCCACTGGCTTGATCCATCATACACTACCAGGACCTAAGCACAAGAGCCATCTCTCCATTTGTGGTTTCCAACATCTGGTATGGAGAAGCATTTCTTCCCCCAACCACAGAGGTAGAACACACCCATCCTGCCTCCTGTGGGAGTGAGTTCCATAGTTTATGCCTTGCATGAAGAAGGACTTCCTTGAATCTGTCCTGAACCCTCCAACATTCAGCTTCATTGAATGTCCATTCAGAACGTTGAATGAGTTCTAATGTTAGGAGAGAGAGAGAAACGTTTCTCTATCCACTTTCTACCTGCCATTCAAATTTTATAAACTTCATGTTGTTGTTGTTTAGTTGTTTAGTCGTGTCCGACTCTTCGTGACCCCATGGACCAGAGCACGCCAGGCACTCCTGTCTTCCACTGCCTCCCGCAGTTTGGTCAAACTCATGCTGGTAGCCTCGAGAACACTGTCCAACCATCTCGTCCTCTGTCTCCCCATTCTCCTTGTGTCCTCAATCTTTCCCAACATCAGGGTCTTTTCCAGGGAGTCTCTTCTCATGAGGTGGCCAAAGTCTTGGAGCCTCAGCTTCAGGATCTGTCCTTCCAGTGAGCACTCAGGGCTGATTTCCTTCAGAATGGATAGGTTTGATCTTCTTGCAGTCCATGGGACTCTCAAGAGTCTCCTCCAGCACCATAATTCAAAAGCATCAATTCTTCAGCAATCAGCCTTCTTTATGGTCCAGCTCTCACTTCCATACATCACTACTGGGAAAACCATAGCTTTAACTATACGGACCTTTGTTGGCAAGGTGATGTCTCTGCTTTTTAAGATCCTGTCTAGGTTTGTCATTGCTTTTCTTCCAAGAAGCAGGTGTCTTTTAATTTCGTGACTGCTGTCACCATCTGCAGTGACCATGGAGCCCAAGAAAGTAAAATCTCTCACTATATTTTGCACTCTCCTCTTTCACCCTCATTAAAAGGTTCTTTAATTCCTCCTCACTTTCTGCCATCAAGGTTGTGTCATCTGCATATCTGAGGTTATTGATATTTCTTCCAGCAATCTTAATTCCGGTTTGGGATTCATCCAGCCCAGCCTTTCACATGATGAATTCTGCATATAAGTTAAATAAGCAGGGAGACAATATACAGCCTTGCTGTACTCCTTTCCCAATTTTGAACCATTCAGTTGTTCCATATCCAGTTCTAACTGTAGCTTCTTGTCCCACATAGAGATTTCTCAGGAGACAGATGAGGTGATCAGGCACTCCCATTTCTTTAAGAACTTGCCATAGTTTGCCGTGGTCGACACAGTCAAAGGCTTTTGCATAGTCAATGAAGCAGAAGTAGATGTCTTTCTGGAACTCTCTAGCTTTCTCCATAATCCAGCGCATGTTTGCAATTTGGTCTCTGGTTCCTCTGCTTCTTCAAAATCCAGCTTGCACTTCTGGGAGTTCTCGGTCCACATACTGCTTAAGCCTGCCTTGTAGAATTTATAAAACTTCATAGAATCCTAGAATTGTAGAGTTGGAAGGGACCCCAAGGGTCTTCTAGTCCACCCCCTGCAATGCAGGAATCCCAGCTAAAGCATCCATGGCAGATGGACATCCAACCCCTCCTTAAAAACCTCCAAGGAAGAAGAGTATGTAACCGCATGTCACCTCTTACTTGCCTTTTCTCTAAACTAAATAGACCCAAACACTGCCATCTTTCTTCCTAGGGGGACCTCTCCATCTCCTTGGTCATTTGAATTGCTCTTTTCTGAACTTTTCACATCTGCTACACACCTAAGCTTTGTCTCATCCTGAAATGTCATGTTGTTGTTGTGGTATGAATTTAAATACTGCCCTATACCGGTGGCAGCTCAAGGGTGATTCACAAGATAAAATTGGACTATAAAACCACAAAATGCATAATCAAATAAAAACAACAACAGTCCAATAACACACACACACACACACACACACACACACACACACATTTTTGAAGGCCATAGGATGTCAATCAAATCCACCAAAGGCCTGATTAAAAAGGAACATTTTTGCCTGGAGACTAAAGATGTATAATGAAGGCGCCAGGCGAACATCCCTGGGGAGAGCATTCCACAAACAGGGAGCCACTGCAAGGAAGGCCCTGCTCTCATGTTGCCACCGTCTGGACCTCTCAAGCAGGCACACATTACCTACCTGACATATGCAATACATCCTAGAAGCCTGGGATAGCAAATGGCCACCTTGGTGTGGCACTTTAGCATAACAGAATAACAGAATCATAGAGCTGGATGGCACCCCCAAGGGTCATTCAAGTTGGGAATGCCATTCCACCTTTTGCTGCAGATATGTGGATTGTTGCATGTCACATGTCTGTTTACATTCCAGCACAGATTGCTGGCATGAACAGAACATCCGCTCTGTATTGCTTTTGTTTTTCAGTCTCCGAGAAGACAGCAAGGAGAGACGCCATCTTTTCTTTGTCCTGATTTATGTATAATAAACACGTAGCCTTAGTATTGCATCTACGCCTCAAGCCTCATCTGTTGCAGCTTGAGTCAATGATGAATGTTGGAGGAGCAGAGGTCGATGGATCTCCGCAGCAGCAAAGCTGGGGGGGGGGGAGACACTACAGCGGGGGCAGAGCCAGCTGGCTTTTCGTCCCCCGATTCCGACAATTCAGTCCAACCCTGCATTGCAGGGGGTTGGACTAGATGACCCTTGGTGGTCCCATCCAACTCTAAATAATAATAATAATAATAATAATAATAATAATAATCTATTTATACCCTGCCCATCTGGTGGGGTTTTCCCAGCCACTCTGGGCAGCTTCCAACCGAATATTAAAAACAATACAGCATCAAACATTAAAAACTTCCCTAAACAGGGCCGCCTTCAGTTGTCTTTAAAAAGTAAAATAGTTGTTTATTGCCTTGACATCTGCTGGGAGGACATTCCACAGGGCGGGTGCCACTACCGAGAAGGCCCTCTGCCTGGTTCCCTGTAACCTCACTTCTCGCAGCAATGGAATCAACAGAAGGCCCTCAGAGCTGGACCTCAGTGTCCGGGCTGGATGATGGGGGTGGAGACGCTCCTTCAGGTATACAGGACTGAGGCCTGTAATGCAGGAATCACAGATAACATGAATGGCCAAACTACGAAATAAAGAGAGCTGCTTGCCCAAGAGAGCACATCTGTAAAACACACACACAACAACAACAACCAAAAAATCCCAAAGCACCATTGATTCCATCTCCTATGCTTACTGGCTCTTCTTGCTTTGGCATAGCAGTATAGAAGATGCAGTTCATAACTCCTAGTGACAGGCGCGATATTGATATCCACCAAAGTGCCTGAGGGGAGAGAGAAAATAAACACTTGATAAAAGTATGATTTAAGATTAATAGTTGTCTTGTGAAGATCCATGATAAAACATCCCATAAAGAGATTACTTGCCTGCAGTACCAAAAAAACTCCTGCAGTCACGGCTGAGCGAAGCCAGAGAAGAAAGTCTAATTTCAGAGCAGGTTTTATCTCAGTCGGGGAACCGATTCTGCCTTGGGAATACTGTAAAAGTGGGGCATCACTTCATGTGAAAACACTGTAATTAAACAGAGGGCTCGGTCAAAAACGGCAAAAAGGCTCAGATTTTTGGATCCAAACCTAGATTTTTGGAGGGGAGAGCTTTCCTTGACTTGGTGCCTTCCAGATTTACTGAAGCTTTTTATATACAGTGGTACCTTGGGTTAAGAACTTAATTCGTTCTGGAGGTCCGTTCTTAACCTGAAACTGTTCTTAACCTGAAGCACCACTTTAGCTAATGGGGCCTCCCGCTGCCGCCGCGCCGCCAGAGCACAATTTCTGTTCTCATCCTGAAGCAAAGTTCTTAACCCGAGGTACTATTTCTGGGTTAGTGGAGTCTGTAACCTGAAGCATCTGTAACCTGAAGCATCTGTAACCCGAGGTACTACTGTATTGCTTAAAGGCCGTAGTTTGGGCTCCAACTCCCATCAGCCCCAGCCAGGATGACCAATTGTTGGGGATGATGGGAGCTTAGTCCAAACAAAACTCATTCTGACAGGAGGTAATGGTCACCAGCCTAGAGGGCTTTAAAAGAGGATGAGACAAATTCATGAAGGCTATTGATGGCTGCAAGAAGATCAAACGTATCCATTGCAAGAAGATCAAACGTATCCATTCTTAAGGAAATCAGCCCTGAGTGCTCACTGGAAGGACAGGTCGTGAAACTGAGGCTCCAGTACTTTGGCCACCTCATGAGAAGAGAAGACTCCCTGGAAACACCCTGATGTTGGGAAAGATGGAAGGCACAAGGAGAAGGGGACGACAGAGGGCGAGATGGTTGGACAGTGTTCTCGAAGCTACCAGCATGAGTTTGACCAAACTGCAGGAGGCAGTGGAAGACAGGAGTGCCTGGCGTGCTCTGGTCCATGGGGTCACGAAGAGTCGGACACGACTAAACAACAACAACAATTGATGGCTACTAGCCATAATGGCTAGGCTCTGCCTCCACAGCTGGAGGAGAAACTGCTTCTGAAAACCAGCTGATGGAAACCACAGGAGGGGAGAGGGCTCTTCTGCTTGAGTCCTAGGCCTAAGACCCTCGTACCTACGGGACCACCTTTCCTGATATGCCCCACGGAGGACCTTAAGGTCCATAAATAGCAAGTCAGTAAGGAAGTCAGATTAGCCTCAACCAGAGCCAGGGCCTTTTCAACATTGGCTCTGGCCTGGTGGAACACTCTGTCTCATGAGACCAGGGCCCTGCAGGGTCTGCTTTCTTTCCGCAGGGTCTGTAAGACAGAATTGTTCCGCCTGGCCTTTGGCTTGGAATCAGCCTGATCCCCTCCCCCTCTTTCCTTTTCCTTCTGTAATGGAACTCCTATTTGGGGACTTCCCTGGCTTTTTTTCTGGCCCATGTAGGACCAGTCTGGAAAGTTAGCCTTGGTGAAGACTTGACGTTTTCATCCCCAAAAACGTTTTTGATTTGAGTTTCCATTGAAATGAGGCTGTATTTTAATGTTTTAAAGTTGTATTTCAATCAATTTGTTTTTATGTTGGGTGTTAGCCGCCCTGAGCCCAGTCTTGGCTGGGGAGGGCGGGGTATAAATAAATTATTATTATTATTATTATTATTATTATTATTATTATTATTGAGTCCTGCCTATGGACTTCCCATAGGGGCATCTACCTGGCCACTGTGAGAACTGCACCGTTCACCTGCTTTCTTCCCCATACTGAACTGTACACAGTTCCCATCTCGTCGGCAGGTTTATTGCATGCGTAGAGAGGCATTTGTGTGCGAAGGTGGCGAAAACAACAGTACGATGGCATATGTAGAGGAGAGGTTAAATCAAACCTTATCTTTTAGAAAATAGCCATGCTGTTTTCAACTCATTAATCACCCATTATCTTCAAGGATTGGATGTGTGCTTATGTGCAGTTCATAAAAGGCCCAATTTATCAGGAAGCTGCTCTCCACAAACGCTATGGCTTCAGCTGCCATTCAATTCAACTGGGTTTGTGCGATAGATTTTCTCAATGAAATGAGCCCAAAGAGTCCCAACCAGTCCTTGAATTCTATATCATTATACCTCTTAGGGTGGGGGTAGGCAATTGTTGCTGTTGTTGAGCACTAGATTCCCACAAGGAGGCTGAAGGTGTCAGGAGTTCAGCCTACACTTGAGTAGGACGCTGGCAGAGACACATGCCCAACTGGCATGTTCCCTCCCTCCTGGTCAATCATTCAGGAGCTTCCAAAGCTTTCTTCAGCCTGAACATCACAGTGACCAATGCCAACCGACACCAGCACACTTAGGGATCCACAGAGTTTGCGCCGTTCACATAACAGACCTTAGCAACTCTGCATTTTGGCTAATCTACTTTATTTACATATAAACACACATGGAGCACTGCAACATGGCTCCCTCTCTCTCTAGCATCAGACAGCAAAGAGAAAAAGAACACAGGACAACAGTCCCACTTCACGGAACACAAACATCCTGTCTTCTTCACTTCCCACTCTGTGGAGTCAAAACATATACCGTCATGTGAAAGTCCCATGACTGCAATCATAGATCAGTAATTCTAACTAGAGGTGCATGGGGCTGGAGTCAAAAGTGGAGGTTGCTCCATTAGTATGAATGGGTCACTGCTCCAGCAGCTTCAGTCTGCCTTCAGCCAGCCCCCACCTGCATGCCTACTTAACAGTCTGTCCAGAGTAACCAGCTGTTACCAATCTTCTCCCTTGTCTCAGTATTGCCTGAGTAGAACTCAATAGGAAGGAGGATGGGGATACAACTAGAATTTAGTGGGTCTGCCTGTCATTGGCTCTCCCTGCCTTCCACTTTGCCAGTCTCTACAGACACCAAGCACTTTTGAGCAGGTCATACTCTCTCCCCCTTCATTCTCTCTCTCTCTCCCAACCCTTTCTGCCCATGTTTCCTCCTTCCAACCCCAAATTAGGCTGGGGGATTCACTCATCTCTATGACCACAGGTTGGTTGTTGTGGTTGTTGTGGTTGCAGTTGTGGTGATTGTGGTTGTTGTTGTGGTTATTGTTGTGGTTGTTGTTGTTTCTTCTTCTTCTTCTTCTTCTTCTTCTTCTTCTTCTTCTTCTACTTCTTCTTCTTCACCTGCCCTTCACCCTAAGGTCTCAGGACTGGTTACAAAATTAACACGCAACATTAAAAGCAGTTTAAAACAACTTACAGTAAAAACAAAATTAATAAGATGTGTCTCCCTCTCTCTCCTTCTCTAGAATCAGAAACCAGAGTTGCATCTTCAGTTGTATAATGTAGGTTCCAGATGTGAGGAGGAGGTTCTACAGTTCAGGGGCCACCACAGAGAAGGTCCTCTTCCAGGCTGCCACCTGCTGAGGCTCTGAGGGTGGAGGAACTCCCAAGAGGGCTTCCTCTGCTGATCTCAGTACCCAAGAGTGTCTGTAGGGAAGGAGGAAGCCTTTTAGGTATTTGTGGCTTGAGCATCTTGAACTGGGGCCGGAAACAAACTGGCAACCAGTGCTGCTGTTTTAGAACAGGGGTTAGATGAGATCTAATTGCAAGCAGTAATTCTAGCTGCTGCATTTTGGACCAAGTGAAGTTTCTGAATCATCTTCAAGGACAGCCCCACACACAGCATGCTGTAGAAATCCAATATCCATTCAAACTCCTGTGGATACAGTGCAAGGGCCATTATTACTGCGCTAAAATGTGGTCTTCAAGAGGTGCTAGTTATTTCCTCTTTCTCACAATAGCATAGTGAAGGAAAGGACCAAAATCTTCACTTTATTCAATAAATCGCATCAAAACAGTCTCTCATCCCATTGAAATGAGACAATATGTGTGCTTGTGCATGTGTGTGTGTGTGTGAAATTATTATCTTTATGAGCAATGGAAATGCTGCAGTTAAAGTTTCATCTGGGAAATGGCATCTTGTTGGGAAATACTCCCTGAAAACATCTTTCTAACTGACACAAAGGATATTGGCAAGCTTTGACAAATAGTTTTCACCAACTTTCCCTTTCCAAACTGCACGAGGAATATTACATCAAATGTTTTCGGCTGTTATCCAAGAACCACAAGCAAAGAAAAATGATTGCTTACATATTTCTTCCCGTGCTGATGAAAACTCCTGCCCAAAAACATGTGCTGTATGAAACAAACCTATGTGCCGAGGACAGCTTCATTTTCCTTGTGAAAGGTTCTTACATGAAGCATTTGTACAAAAGTAATAAGCTATCTGCATTGGGTTTTTCTGTTTTCGGAAAGCAGCAGTCTCCGTCAGAGGATGTTCCAGCCTAAGGGGTGTGCTTTGGGTAAGGGGATAGGTTCCATCAAGAGAAGCCAAGCATGGAAACCAAGACAGTGTTCGATCTTGATAGAGATGCATGTTGTGCTGGGCCCGGGAGTAACCCGCGAAACGCGGTCCAGGACCGGACCCAAATCCGAAGGTTCCGCTAGGAGTCAGTCCAACAGGGCCAAAGCAGGACATGAGGCAGGAAACCAGGCAAGGACAGGTACAGGATCTCAGGCAGGATCTAGCATACAGCAATGTTGCTCCCACAACCTGGGGCGGGGTCCGACAGCCTTTTATCTTTGTTGGGGTAGCGGCCGGTCCTGATCCCCCAGCAATTCACCTCCCTGTTTCGCCTGAAGGCGAGCACTCCTCCTGCGAGTACTCAGGTATCTCCTTCTCTCAGACCTTAGTCTCTGCAACTCGGGAGATGTCTGTGGGTTCCTAGACCCAGGGGCCGCCTCAGCCTCCCCTGACCCAACAGGTAGTGGAGCAGCTGTGAGTGATGACCCAGCTGGAGGCAACAAGATAATCCCCGCATATGGAGCCAGGGCAGGCTCAGGTCCCTGACTCTCCCCCGGCTGGTGTTTGTTGCAGGGGAACCTGTGCAGACTGGGACTCTTCAGGATCAGGCCCCAGACTTGGTTCAGATGGTGCCTGAGGCGAGTCTCCTCTGGTTCCGAGTCTGAGCCCAAGTCCCAGGCCATCACACTTATGAACAGGCACAAATGTTGTATCAGCGACAGATGATCCCATACTGAATTCTAGATAGGGCTTCAGACCAATCTTCTGACCAGTCCAAAAAGCCCTCCAAAAGTAGATAATGGAGGAAGGTAAGCCCACTGATTGTCTCCTGTATTCTGTAGCACACACTCTCCAACTCTAGGGTTCCATTCAGTTATAATTGTCAGCCTGGATAGCTCAGTTGGTTAGAACATGGTGCCGATAATGCCAAGGTTAAAAGTTTGATCCCTGTTTGGGACAGCTGCATATTCCTGCATTGCAGGGGGGGTGGCCTAGACTCTGTTGGAAGAGATCCAGTGTGGTGTAGTGGTTAAGAGTGGTGGACTCGTAATCTGTTGAACTGGGTTCGATTCCCCACTCCTCCACATGCAGCTGCTGGGTGACCTTGGGCTAGTCACACTTCTCTGAAATCTCTCAGCCTCGCTCACCTCACAGAGTGTTTGTTGTGGGGAAGGAAGGGAAAGGAGAATGTTAGCTGCTTTGAAACTCCTTAGGGTAGTGATAAAGCGGGATATCAAATCCAAACTACTCTTCTTCTTCTTTCTATGATAACTAACGGTCATTGACTCAGTGTGAGGCAGCTTCCGATGTTCCAGATATGAAACCTAACATCTTCCCTCTCAAAGACATGCACTTTTTAAATCAAACAACTAATTAGATTATTATTATTATTCCTGTTCTATTGAGATCTGTCCTGGTGCACATATCCTACCCGGCAAAGCATTCATCAGGCTGTTAGTCCACAATGCAAAGCACTTAATATCTAGAGCAGTCTTGAATAATTCATTAGTGCTCAATGCGCCTAATACCGATAAATGGAAGCCCTGCTGGTTTCTCACACACTTCTTGGTTTAAGCGATGATAAATATACACTTTGCCAGACAGCCATATGAGCTGTAGGGAAGGAATTCATTCTCATCAAAGAAATAGTAAGTAGGGAGCATTCCCACCTCTTGGAAGGGCGAGTGAGGAGAACCTTAGATTCCTGACTGCTCCGAGAATGATGTGAGTTAGCGTTGGGGCCCCAAACATCAATGGGGCCCCAAACATCAATAACCCTAACCCACATGGAAAATGAAGAGTTGTTGCTAAATATTTATTCATGTATTTCCACTTACAAATTGCTTCTGAGGTGGACTTACTCATAACCCCATTATTAGTGAGGCCACAGCAACATATGCAAGAATGTGACCTGACCACAAGATTGGCTGTCTGTTAAAGTGAAAAAAAGAACACCCTATAAGGTATAAGAAGGGTTCTGACATGAGCAGTCAACAATGGGTTGAGCAAGTTTAATTATTATTATTTATTTATTTATTTATTTATTTATTTATTTATTTATACCCTGCCCATCTGGCTGGGTTTTCCCAGCCACTCTGGGCAGCTTCCAACCGAATATTAAAAACACAATACATCTTGAAACATTAAAAACTTCCCTAAACAGGACTGCCTTCAGATGTCTTCTAAAAGTCTGGTAGTTGTTTTTCTCTTTGACATCTGGTGGGAGGGTGTTCCACAGGGCGGGTGCCACTACCGAGAAGGCCCTCTGCCTGGTTCCCTGTAACTTGGCTTCTCACAGCGAAGGAACCGCCAGAAGGCCCTTGGCACTAGACCTCAAGCCATCCAAGCTGGTGCGCATCCTAGGAACGTGAGACTGTCATCAAAAGCATGGGATGATCCTCCTTAGTCTATTAACTGCCTTCAACATTTGCACAGACGAAGCATGCTAGGCAAACAGTGACCAGAAATTCACAAGAGGTGAGTACAAAACACGGGGTTTTGCCATTTGTTTAGAGCATGGGTAGGCAAACTAAGGCCTGGGGACCCGATTCGGCCCAATCACCTAAATCCAGCCTGCAAAACGGTCCAGGAATCAGCATGTTTCTACATGAGTAGAATGTGTGCTTTTATTTAAAATGCATCTCTAGATTATTTGTGGGGCATAGGAATTTGTTCATATATATTTTTTCAAAATATGGTCCGGCCCCCCAAAAGGTTTGAGGGACAGTGGACCGGCCCCCTGCTGAAAAGGTTTGCTGACCCCTGGTTTAGAGCTTCTCAGTTGTCAATGTAAGAGGTAACGCAGAGTTAAAACCCTCGAGGTGAAGCCTTCTTGTAGAAAGAGCTGTGAAGTGAATTGTAGCGGGTTGGGTTCTACAGTTCTATGACTCCATGATATCTTTTGGTGATTTGTGCAGGCCATCTCCCTTGCTGCAAATATGTTTCTTTGTGAAGGGAAGTCCTTCCACTTCTATTACATAACTTGTCATTATTATCAAAGTACGGTAGTTTAGAGGAAATCTCTTCAAGGGTAAACTTCTTAATGCAGGTATTTCCTGCTGTAACTCCTTGCAAACTCAGAGGCATGCTCAAAGCACAGCAGTTCCCTTTGAGTTTACAAATGATCTCCCCTACCCCGCATTTCTTAACTTTGCTATGAATGTCTTCCGTTCCCATGGGCAATTCTGTAATCTAGCTTTCATTCCCCATCGCGCCTGCTGTTCTCTAAGATCTCTAAATCTCCAGTTATCAAAACACATAATCTGCCCTATCGTTCAACGGCAGACATTTCAACATCTGGTAGTAATTAACTAACAGCAGAGAAGCAGTGCTGAGTGAGTGTGTCTCTTGAAAGTTTCACATCCCAGAAATGCATGCTTTGATATTGGCTGGGGAGTCTGGAAGAAATGGCTCTGGACTGCATGTCTGCCCACATGGCATACAAATTTGAAAGCTGAATTTCAGTGTAGATTTTGAATTATTTTCTGAGTTCAAGTGCAGATACAGTTGGAGTGTCAATTCGAAACTATGGTAGTTGATTTTTAAATACGCATTGCAGTGCTGTGATATACAGTTACTGATTCACACTTGTATGCATGAAAGGGTTAACCTGAGCCCTGAGCTCAAGTTACCATGAGTGCTGCAGGCTCCCAGCAGCCTTAACTTCCACCTACTTCTCTCTCCTGCTTCCTTCAAGAAGCTGAAGCCAAGCATGGCTCCCAGCTCATGTAGAACAAAACATGCAATGAAAAATCTCTCCAAAATGAGATTTTTATTACCTGCATGCACGGACTGTTTGATCCTTTTATAGGGAATTTATTTTTAAGTCTTTTGGAAAAAAAAAATTCTTCTTTATTTTTCCTGCAAACGGATGGATAATTATTTGCTGTCACTTCTGAAACTCTTGTGAATACAGTTTTCTCTTATTTGCAAAGCTAAGTGGCTGTGATTTATTCTAGCCTAAGTACTTTAATGGGGAATGTTTGATTAAAGGTGGATGAGGGCAGATGTAAATCTAAGTAAGTTTTAATATGCTCTGGATAAAATTGTTGTTGTTGTTGTTTAGTCGTTTAGTCGTGTCCGACTCTTCGTGACCCCATGGACCAGAGTATGCCAGGCACTCCTGTCTTCCACTGCCTCCCGCAGTTTGGTCAGACTCATGTTTGTAGCTTCGAGGACACTGTCCAACCATCTCGTCCTCTGCCGTCCCCTTCTCCTTGTGCCCTCAATCTTTCCCAACATCAGGGTCTTTTCCAGGGAGTCTTCTCTTCTCATGAGGTGGCTAAAGTATTGGAGCCTCAACTTCACGATCTGTCCTTCCAGTGAGCACTCAGGGCTGATTTCCTTAAGAATGGATAGGTTTGTTCTTCTTGCAGTCCATGGGACTCTCAAGAGTCTCCTCCAGCACCAGAATTCAAAGGCAGCAATTCTTTGGGGATCGGCCTTCTTTATGGTCCAGCTCTCACTTCCATACATCACTACCGGGAAAACCATGGCTTTAACTATACGGACCTTTGCTGGCAAGGTGATGTCTCTGCTTTTTAAGATGCTGTCTAGGTTTGCCATCGCCTTTCTCCCAAGGAGCAGGCATCTTTTAATTTTGTTACTGCTGTCACCATCTGCAGTGATCATGGAGCCCAAGAAAGTAAAATCTCTCACTGCCTCCATTTCTTCCCCTTCTATTTGCCAGGAGGTGATGGGCCCAGTGGCCATGATCTTCGTTTTCTTGATGTTGAGTTTCAGACCATATTTTGCGCTCTCCTCTTTCACCCTCATTAAAAGGTTCTTTAATTCCTCCTCACTTTCTGCCATCAAGGTTGTGTCATTTGCATACCTGAGGTTGTTGATATTTCTTCCGGTGATCTTAATTCCATCTTGGGATTCATCCAGCCCAGCCTTTTGCATGATGAATTCTGCATATAAGTTAAATAAGCAGGGCGACAATATACAGCCTTGCCGTACTCCTTTCCCAATTTTGAACCAATCAGTTGTTCCATATCCAGTTCTAACTGTAGCTTCTAGTCCCACATAGAGATTTCTCAGGAGACAGATGAGGTCATCAGGCACTCCCATTTGTTTAAGAACTTGCCATAGTTTGCTGTGTTCGACACAGTCAAAGGCTTTTGCATAGTCAATGAAGCAGAAGTAGATGTCTTTCTGGAACTCTCTAGCTTTCCCCATAATCCAGCGCATGTTTGCAATTTGGTCTCTGGTTCCTTTGCCCCTTCTAAATCCAGCTTGCACTTCTGGGAGTTCTCGGTCCACATACTGCTTAAGCCTGCCTTGTAGAATTTTAAGCATAACCTTGCTAGCGTGTGAAATGAGTGCAATTGTGCAGTAGTTGGAGCATTCGGCTCCAGGTCTTGTTTTTGCTGACTGTATAGAGCTTCTATACAATGGAGAAAATTGCCATTGCGCTAACTCTGCTATGAGAGAGTAAAGATCTCTCTTCCAAACATCTCTCTCCAATACAGTGAAAGGGATCTATGCCAATCTTGTTAGAAAGCAAAAATACCTTTCCATACATTCTCCCATTCCTATATGAAATAACGAAAGCAAGATCCAACCCACTGCCTCTGCTCAGACTTCCGTGCACATGGTGCCACTTCCTTCATCTGCCAGGAGCATCTTTGACAAACCACAGCCCCCCTCCAAAGGAGATTCAGGGTGGTATTGCCCTGGAGAGGAGTTGGGGAGTGGAACATTGTGGCCCAGAGCCAATAAGGTTTTCTTTGGGGGGTGGGTTGCTTTTACATACAAAATTGTCTTGTTTTTGTTTTTACAATGAACACATGTTATTTTTGAAATTGCTTATTTTTTATTTTATTTTGAAATTCCTTGGAGGTTTTTTATGGGAAGTGTGGGGGAAGTTCCCCTTGGGGGTTCAAGGATGGAGTCTCACAAGAAATTCCAAATTAGTCAGACTTTATTGCATTAAAAGACAGAGTAGAAAGAATCTGCAAGATCATTTCCATTAGGACACACACTTATATAGGCCTTGGTCCCGTATACCTGAAGGAGTGTCTAGAACCCCATCGTTCAGCCCATACACTGTGGTCCAGCGTTGAGGGCCTTCTGGTGGTTCCCTCACTGCGAGAAGTAAGGTTACAGCAGGAATGGCCAAACTTGGCCCTCCAGATGTTTTGGGACTACAATTCCATCATCCCTGAGCACTGGTCCTGTTAGCTAGGGATGATGGGAGTCGCAGTCCCAAAACATCTGGAGGGCCAAGTTTGGCTATGCCTGGGTTACAGGGAACCAGGCAGAGGGCCTTCTCAGTAGTGGCACCCACCATATGGAACGCCCTCCCTTCAGATGTCAAGGCAATAAGCAACTATCTTACTTTTAATGTTGGACGGACTATTGTATTTTAATATTTTGTTGGGTGCCGCCCAGAGTGGTTGGGGAAATCCAGCCAGATGGGCAATGATTATGATTATGATTAGAAGGGTTTTAAGCAGATTTTGGATGGCTATTTGGCATGGATGCTTTAGCTGAGATTTCTGCATTGCAGGGGGTTGGACTAGATGACCCACAGGGTCCCATTCCAGCTCTACAATTTTATGATTCTATATACGTCTAAGAATATAAGAGGAGCCCTGCTGGACCAGGTGAGTAGTCCATCTAACTGGGGATCCTGTTCTCACAGTAGCCAACCAGATTCCTATGGGAAATCTGCAAGCAGGACATGACTGCGCCCGTGTTCTTCCTAGCTGAAATTCCCAGCAGCAATACTGTCTCTGAGCGTGGAGGTAGGCCATAGACATCAGGGTTAGGAGCCATTGACATTAAAGGAACCACGGGGAAGTGTCATTAAGGCTCTATATTTCTTCTTCATCCCCCAGCAGAAAGTAACATTTAGCTGGTCCGCATGGAATAAATTACCATATTAATTATTCAGAGTGCTAAATGCCAATAAAGAGGAATGACTTTATCAGACGCCATCAAGAAGGAGACACAAAAATCAATGGAGTTCAAAGGCATCGGGGCTCGGCGAATAATTAACTTCGGGAGTGCAGAGTGTTTGCATGCAGCAGAACAAGAGGGCCATTCGACATACTCAAAAGTGTGTCGAGGCAGCTCAGGTCACGAATGGCAAAGCGAAGGATGCATTCTAATGAACTGCCAGTCTTAACTTGTGCAAGGCAATCCGAGGCATGTTTACTCCAAAGTAGAAACCCACTTGGTTCAACACTCGTTACCTGACTTTCCTGAAAGGGCAGTAGCGTGGCATCCAAGCCCACCCTCCAATTCAGTTCATTCCTCCCAGCCAATTTGAGCCACATGCTGATGATTGGAGGGAGCTAGGGCTGAGAAAACCTTTTATTGAGGGTAAAACCTTTTATTGAGGGTGAAAGAGGAGAGCGCAAAATATGGTCTGAAGCTCAACATAAAAAAAACGAAGATCATGGCCACTGGTCCCATCACCTCCTGGCAAATAGAAGGGGAAGAAATGGAGGCAGTGAGAGATTTTACTTTCTTGGGCTCCATGATCACTGCAGATGGTGACAGCAATCACGAAATTAAAAGACGCCTGCTTCTTGGGAGAAAAGCAATGACAAACCTAGACAAAATCTTAAAAAGTAGAGACATCACCTTGCCAGCAAAGGTCCGTATAGTAAAAGCTATGGTTTTCCCAGTAGTGATGTATGGAAGTGAGAGCTGGACCATAAAGAAGGCTGATCGCCGAAGAATTGATGCTTTTGAATTATGGTGCTGGAGGAGACTCTTGAGAGTCCCATGGACTGCAAGAAGATCAAACCTATCCATTCTGAAGGAAATCGCCCTGAGTGCTCACTGGAAGGACAGATCCTGAAGCTGAGGCTCCAAGACTTTGGCTACCTTATGAGAAGAGAGGACTCCCTGGAAAAGACCCTGATGTTGGGAAAGATGGAGGGCACAAGGAGAAGGGGACGATAGAGGACGAGATGGTTGGATGGTGTTCTCGAAGCTACCAGCATGAGTTTGACAAAACTGCGGGAGGCAGTGGAAGACAGGAGTGCCTGGCGTGCTCTGGTCCGTGGGGTCATGAAGAGTCGGACACGACTAAACAACAACAACAACAAGGGCTGAGAAATTGGGTCATAGGAATGCAAAGACCTACCTTATACTGAATCAGATCCTTGGTCCATCTAGCTCAGCCTAGGAGCCAACTCCTAGTAGCCAAAGTCTCTTGACCCTCCCCCATGAAATATTTGAGGCCCCCCCCCCAAGTTGATGGGCATTGTCATCCAGATGGGGTGTGCGCACTGCATCTTGTGACTGATTATGCAGGACGGATCTTACCTGACTCCCATGTTTTATTCAAGCTGGTATTCCTGTAGCTCAGTGTCTACGACTGGTAGAGGCCCTCCAGGTTTCCAGACAATGGACATTCCCAGTCCTATCAAGAGATTTTGGGGGTTGAGCCCAGCAAGCTTTGTTGGTTTCCGTTGAAATGAATGGGATTTTAAGCAACTTGCCCCATTGCTTTGGGCTTGAATAATAAGCCCACCTACCTAAGAATAAGACTCACTCCTGTGTAGGCATGGTTAGGTTTGTGCTGTTAGCCCAGGGGTCAGCAAACTTTTTCAGCAGGGGGCCCACTGTCCCTCAGACCTTGTGGGGGGCCGGACTATATTTTTTTTGGGGGGGGGGAATTATGCAAGAGTACCACGAACCCCAGTGGCTGCTTACCTGTGTCTTGCAAGCGGCAGGGGCTGGCAGGGGCTGGTGAAGGTGGTGGCGGAGGGACGATGAGCAGCGTGTGAAAGGGCTCTGGAAAGGGGCTGCTTAAAATGGAAGCCACTTGAGCGCTGCTGCTGCTGGCACCAACAAGGCCCAGTCCCCTTCCTCCTCTAGTCAGGGCGGGGAGAAGCCAGGAGGAGGGAGGGAGGGGGCGCTGCTGCCGCCACTGTGTAAGGGAGTGGGAGGGAGAGGGAAAGAATGTGTGCACTGGTGATCCATGCGATGATTCCTGGACCGTCCTTGGGCTGGATCCAGAAGGCAATTGGGCCTGATCCCACCCACGGACCTTAGTTTGCCTACCCATGTGTTACCCAGTCTCTAACCCATCGCTTGATATGCCATGACTAGATAAGGAAACACCTATAGTCTCTTAGCCTTACCTAAGGTTGTTGTGAGGAGAAAATGGAGAGGAGGAGAACCTTGGAAGAGGAGGGGGACATAAATGAAATAAATAAATCATCCAGCCTAAAGTTCAATAAAGAATTCAGCCTTATTTCCCTCCCACTGCCGGTAATATTGGACTTGTTCAGCTCAGAGCCTGACTCCTGGGTCCAGGTAAAATGTGATTCCTGCATTGCAGGGGGTTGCACTGTATCACCTTTGGGGGGGGTACCGTCCAACTCTACAATTCTGTGTTCCCAGCCCCCTGCTTTGACTGTGAAATCCACCCACGTCTCTACACCTGGACGCTCATCTTTTTGTTTTGTTCTGTTTTGCTGGGCAAGTTCAGCATCAAATATTGCTTAATGCACCTCATGAACTGGAAAGTGCTTGGGGATAAGATCGCTTACCATTCTTATGCAAGAACGATTCCCCCGGTGTTCTGGAGGCTACCTGACCCCTCTATGCAGCAAATATGTTATTCTACAGCAAAACTGATCTCCACACTAAATAAGAGCG